TTATTAATTCCACCTCTTTCTCAAACAATCCTCAACCTTCTTGGAAGTAATTTTTTTTCGGACTCGTTTCTAAATCAAGCATAAAATAAATGGCTTTTCCTGCATCGGTTTTCCACCACGAGCGGGCAAAAATAACTAACTCGTTTAGGGCATCTCTTCACGGCTGGTTTTCGTCTCCGGGTGTTAGATACTTTTCAACACTTCCGGAATAATTCGCCGTCAAAATTCCAGCATAAACTCGTTTGGCTCTATCCAACTCTGCTTTTGGGAAGTTGGGCGGCAAATGAGCGAAAAATCTCTTTTCGTCTGCTTTCAATTTGTAATGCTTAATTCACGGAAGGGAAATTTCGATTTCTGAGGGCATGATTATTTGGGAGGGATTTCGATTTGGGCTTGGATTTCTATTGGTATTTGTCTTGTTTGTTCGCTCTCGTATTCGATCCTCCAATTAATTCGAGCTTGGGGAAAATTAAATTCACCCAAATTTATGCCTTCCAAACCACCGTTATATTTTTCCATAATTCGTTTAGTAATTTCAATTACGGCAATGCCGCAGTCTCAGGTGTTGGGTTGTTGGATTTCGTTTCGCAAGACCAAATATTTTTCTAAATCCGGATTATTGTTTTGATGTAATTGTTGCAATAAATCTCTGACTAAAGGTTTAATATAACCATGATTAGGACTACCCTTTAGAGTATCTCAGTGATAAAAAGTTTGGCTGGCTTTTTCATAAACCAATAAACTTCAATGGAAATCCGGATTATTGATAGGTATAAAAACCAATTGTCCTCCCGCAAAACCAGTCAATTCACTTAATAATACTGGGAAACTTATTGCTGCTGATATGTCTTGTTGTGAAGCCTCTCGGGTAAACATAAACTGAGTTAATTCTAAAATTTTAAATTGGGAAAATTGTTTATGAGGCAAATCCAGTTGGTTTACTACCCTTTCTAGGGCTCAATCAATTTCTTGATCAGCTAATCAGTGGCCGGATCCGAATCAATTATCCTCAGTTAATTCTTTATTTGTTTCTTTTTGGCTAATTTTTTTTGGGAGGTTCTGTCTATTAGGGAGTGTGGTTTGAAACTCTTGCTTATTGATTTTTGGAAGAGTTTGAGTTTTAATAAAATCATCGAAATTAATTGCAAAATCAATTTGCTTAGAAGAATTATAAAATTCGTTGTTGATTTCTTCACTGTTTTGTGGCTCAGGCAGGTTATTGAAGGCCAGTAATCGGCTAGTATAGATGGCTTGAGGATGGGTTTGCAAAGCAGCAAATTTTGAACTTAAAAACTTAATAAATGACCCTCACGCTTCTCTTTTTTTTCTTTTATCATGATTAAGTTGTTGACAAAATTCCGAAAATGTTTCTAGTAGTATTTTTGACCTTTCTTCTTCTGTCAATTCCGGGCTTTTTTCTGGAGAAATCTCTAAAATTTTTCGAAACAAATTATTCTGTTTATGGAATTCTTCATAAACTTTAACTTGTCTAACAAATTCAGCATTTTTTTTCAAATAACCATTAACTTCATACTCCAAGTGAAATAAAATAGTCGCTAATTCCTTAGCAGTTGGTCTCTTGGCTGGATTAGAATCTCAGCATTTACTAATTAAATTCTTAAGGGTTTGCGGCACATGAACAGCACTCAAGTCTGGTCTTAATCCTAAACATATATTTATTGCCAAGTTTCCGTCATGAGACATATTATGATAAGGAGGCAATTCAAAAAAGTATTCATACATGATCATGCTAAACGAATAAATATCTGCTGCTTTGGTGTAGAGTTGTCTGTTTAATATTTCTGGAGCAACATAAGGTAGGACGCCATAAACTTTTTTATCATCTTTTTCATTAGCCGGACGGCATAAGCCAAAATCGGTGATATAACAATGAAAATCAATCAATATATTTCCAGTATGAAAATCTTGATGAACTAGATCTTTTTCATGAAGAGAATTTAATCCGTTAGCAAGAGAGAATAATTGCTGAAGTTTAACTGCTAAGTTTAATTTACCAGTATTTTTTTTCAAATACTGTCTTAAATCGCCTTCTTTCATATATTGCATGATCATTGCATAATTCTTGGTTTTGGGTTCTTGAGAAATGCCATAGCATGGTACGAATAAACCATCTAATTTATGACAAGCAACTTCTCTTAAAAACTCAGCCGTCATGTTTTGTGAATCGTGCAAAATTTTTAGGATAACTATTCTTTGCTCATCATACTTATCATTATGTCTAACTCATTTGTTGTTTTTATTATCTCAATTCTGGATTTCTCCATCGAGTCATTGAGCTTTATAAATACTTCCAAATCCACCATCAGCTAGATGCTCTATATTAGCAATCCTGTAATAGGGGATTCACTCTAATATTTGCAATGAACTAATTGCTTCTAATTGGCTCTTTTGTATCAACTCATTTATTTCTTGGTTACCACTAGTTCATTTAGAAAGGTCTTTTTGCAAATACTTTGAATTGCAATTTTTACATCAATTTTCTCATGTATTAGGCTGCTGGCAACTTGGACAAAATCCATAGTTTTTGTATCTTTCTCTTACTTCTGAGTTGGGAATTAATTCTTCTAGCAAAGATTGTTGTTCAATAGTCAAGTCGAGTTTTCTACTAGTTTCATTGCGTTTAAAATTTTTTTCTAAATCTTTTATTCGCACAATTATTTCTTTACTAAGTTGCCAATACTTAATATCTTCTTTATATTCTTTTCTTAACTCTTCTTTTTCCTCGCAATTTATTACTTGTCAAGTAGAAAAACACTCTT